AGTTAATCACTTACCCTTTAGTTTTCTTTATGCAATATACAGGAAAAAATAGATTTTGTTTGATACTGTTGCATTATCAAGTGATAGAAATTAATGTTTTTGACCGTTTTCTTTTAGGAAGCAAATATTCCTTGCTGAGAAATCCAGCATTGCTGGTCACCAGGGGCCGGTTGCACCAGCTGGACGTACACCCGGTTGTAAGACTAGGCTGGACGTAAAATGCGCTTTAAGTCGTGCGTAGAATTTATACCCTTTGCACCATCTCGGCGTAGTGCTACGTCTGACACTAAATCTTACGCCTAGTCAGAGGTAGGTGTAAAGTGAAAAGTCATGATTTGCTCGGACATTATTCATTTTTAGGATTCATGTCTGTTAGTTAATTATTACTGCAGACGTGACCTGTAATGTTTATGGTCTTTTCGGGCAGGATAAGCGATATCAATCGCGAAGCTCTGTGCTATCCTACCACACTGTCGACATTGAACACAAAATATATTTCTGTCAAGCATGTAATAATTATGCAGTAAAATATTACATATGAACTGGGATTATTAAAAGAAACTGAACCATTTGACATCTTGCTTGGAAGGACCATGTGCTTGAAAATATTTCACGTCTTTAATTCAATTAATTATTTGTAGCGTGCCTGCCATCCAATAATCGCAATAAGTTTTGTGCTTTGTTACTTTTAATCAGAAATAAATTATCAGCTTTCAAATTCTGTCAATTTTATCACAAAATGCAAACCATAAACGTGTTTTTTCAGCCACATAAAGACAGCAAAACACAAAATGTCACGTAAAGTCACAGTTACCTCAGGAAAGACATTCATTGTACATAAACTTGATAGTCGGCTATAAAAAATAACTCTAGAGAAGCATTGTATTACATTTATTATATTTTACTTAACCTTGATGAAATCTGTCATGGGAGTGTGCAGGGAGACTTCAGATATAAAAACGCGGACTTGTTAGGAAATGTTTACTCAATGAAATCATAGCGCGGTGATTTCACTTATGTCTTGAGCAATTCAGTTATATATTAGTAGTTGTAGCCATTGCGCCGTTTCAGCTATTTCTATAACTGAGGGAGAATGTGTTGGCGTGGACGCGCATAGTTGCGCCTGATCGTAGTTTCAGTTGGTGCAACAGGTGTAAATATTTATCGTAAAGCAGGACGTTGCAAAGCCCAGTGTAGGGCTTACACCCAGCGTGTTTATGTCTAGCTGGTGCAACCAGCCCCAGCACTTTATCAGTTCTAACCAGCATAAACCAACATGGAATTCATGCTGTTAATTCTCGATATTTCAGCATGTTTGGATATTTTAGCAATGTCACAATGGCACTGACTCCATGTCAAATAAAACCATGTCAATTAGGATTCTCATATGACATTCTTCAAAAATATCATTCATTTTAATAAGGATCAAATGACTGACTCCAGCTTTGAGATGGAAAACCAACCTGTTTGTTCCTCAGTATCTTCTTGTTTGACTCTGAATGTTTCTTCAATCTTCGTATCTTCACTCTCCTCTTTAATAAACGCCATCTTTCAGTGGATCTTGGCTGCTTCACCAGGAGTTTTTCTGTGTTTGGGCAATTTGTCCTGTTTAAGACGTGAAGAATTAACAGAAAGAAAAATAAAATCCAAACTAAATCTCTCTGTGTGTCTCAATAAGCTCCCTATAGTCCAGTAGTCAGCACTAATAAGTCAGTCAGAGTGAGAGTTAAAAGCTTTAAATGAGATGATTAGACAAAAACTCTCAACACTAGCACAACAAATGTTTACAATAAACTGATTCAGGATATGGGGAGCAAAATGAAACGCGCCTTTTCTAGTGGATGCGCTTTGCACTAGTCATGTCCCGGTTCGTGAACTTATCGTTCTTTTGAACCGGTTCTTTTTTTGAGCCAGTTCACCAAATTGGACTGAGTTGTTCAAAACAGTTCGCGTCTTGAGTAAGCACTGGTCCACAATTTACTAAAGCAACTCATTTTCAGACATGCCCGACAGTTCCTCCGACTCTAAATAAACCAATATCCCGAAGTATATGTTAGTCCTGTAACTCCAACAGCACTGAAACATGCCGTGCGGAGAGAACCGATGAGCACGAACAGCTGATACTAAGAATGCGTGAAACTGCTACGAAACACCGAGAACTGTTCCTTTCGGACACATTCGATACTGAGAACAGACGAGGTGGAGATACTGAGAATGCTTGAATCTAGCACGGACTGAACGGTTTCTTTCGGACAACTGATGCTGTGAGCGCGAGTGAATCGAGGACTTGAGTGAGGGGCGAACTTGGCCAATACTGGAAAATTGATACGAACTGTCCGAAAGAATCGGTTCGCTGAAAAGAATCGGACTTCCCATAACTACTTTGCACACACACACGAGCAAACAAACGTTCATTAATGTTAGATAAAGCATTACAATGTTATATTCAATACTATTTTAGTAATTTTACACCTCTAGTAAAAAACCTAAGTATTTGACTTACCAGTTTGTATCGATTTACAACCTTTAAATGCTTAAAACCCACAAACCTTTCTTAAGCCGTATCACAAAAGAAGCAGGAGCGCTGCGCGGCCTTACGACGTCAAGTCTCGACTCCAAAATAAAAGTCATGCTCACACAGTGCTGTCCAAAATCACAAAAATGAATAGAAGTTAACATACAAAAAGGTGTCCAGTTATGTGCTGAAAATAGCTACCGATGAAAGAGTGAGTTGCTCATCTAATATGTGCTTTTCCGTCTAAAAGACAAAACACTCGTGTTTGACTGCAGGAACAATTTATACCAGGGGACTAAAACCAGTGGTGGACGAAGTACACAAATGTTTACTTTAAAATATTACTCCTGTAAAAGTACTCAGTTTTCAATTTTACTTGAGTGAAAGTACAAAAGTGCTTGATTTTTTTATGTACTTAAGTAAAAAGTACCGATAGATGAATGTTTATTTTGCAGTTTTATATAGGCTACTTTTATCATTTAATTTTATATTAGCATATATATTTTTTATAATCCTACTGCTCAAAATACCTGGGATTTTCCCAAAACAACCAATAAGGAAATAATGAATATAATAAGGAAAATATAATTAGATTTTCATGATGATTTTTTTCTATTAATCCTAAAATTCGACATTAGTAACTTATTTTTAACAGTATCAGACGTGCGCACGCTCACAAGATCTCCCGGATCTTACTTGTGAATTCAGTTCACTGGAGACTCGCACTAAACGGTTAATTTGAATCAGTGAGTTGTCGACTCGAGAACAGCTGCAATCGGATCATTCTAATTCGTGAATGAATCGTTTAGTGCGAATTACGAACCGATTTAACGGGTTCAGACACCGCTTCTGCATCTCGGAGCACGTGATATATTATAAGGAGTAACGATAAGTTTTATGAAATATAGTGAAGTAAAAAGTACGATCTTATGCTTTGCGATGTAGTGAAGTAAAAGTAAAAGTTAAAATAAAACGACTCCAGTAAAGTGCAGATACTTGAAAAATGTACTTAAGTACAGTAATGAAGTAAAACTACTTCGTTACTGTCCACCACTGACTAAAACGTCTTTCTCAGTTACAAGACGTTTTTTAAATGATTTTTATGCAAAAGTGTTATAGCAAAAACTGTACTTAATTTACGTGAAACTATGTTTTTAAATAAATGCAAACGTTTATTGTGGTCAGACAAATATTATTAATAATTCAAAATGATTTTGACTGTGTTTATCCTTGTTGATTTACTTTATTTGACTTTGTAAATTAGCCATGGAAATCAAATGCAATTACAAAAAAATGTGAAAACATGGTCAATAACTGTATATCTGTAAAGTATCGGACCTTGTAGCATTTTTAAAAAGTCACCATGAAATCAAAATGGACAATTGTATTATTTATTTATTGATAGATTGAATGAATGAACATCGCAGTGTTTATTATAAATGATCAGTTTTTAACTTTTTATCTTCTCCCAAGGTCAGCACTGTTGCAGCTCTTTCCAGTCTTTTGGAGTGTCTAATGCTGCTTCATACAGACATATATCTGAACAACTGTGCTTTCACATTGCTTGGAAGGGTTGAAAAGAAACATAATTTTAACATAGATCCTAAACATACTGGGCCTAATATCAATTTATTGACAGATGAAGTTTATTGAAATACTGAAAGAAAAGATGCTACCATCACTCCTTGCCCTTCATCACGGGGCACTCTTTCAACACAATAATGGCCCAAAACACCTCCAGAGTGAATGCACAAGTGATTTTTTAAATGGCTCCTTTTCCTAAACGTCTTGCGATGCACAGACCATTGTTTGCAAATGACGTTTCAGGTCTCTTTTATACATAAAATGTTTTGGACACTGAGGGCAGGTATAAGGCTTCTCTCCAGTGTGAACTCTTATGTGAATCTTTAGGTTTCCTCTAAATGAGAAACTCCTTCCACACTGAGGGCAGACAAAAGGCTTCTCTCCCGTGTGAATCCTTACGTGAACCTCAAGGTTTGCGTTGTTTTTGCAATCCTTTCCACAATGAAGGCACATGAAACGCTTCTGTCCGAAGTGGGTTATTACATGATTCTTAAGGTGACTGCTGTCTGTGAAACTCCTTCCACACTGATGACATTTAAAACTGTTCTTTCTTAAGTGAATCCTCGTGTGTTTATTAAGGTCGTCTTTATATCTAAAACTCTTTCCACACTGATCACATGTGAACGGCTTCACTCCAGAGTGACTTCTCATGTGAATCTTAAGACCTGCTTTTCGTGTGAAGCTCTTTCCACACAGATTACAGATGAAAGATTCCCCTCCAGTGTGAATCCGCATGTGGACGTTAAGGTTTCCTCTTTGAGTGAAACTTATTCCACACTGTTGGCAAGTGAAAGGCTTCTCTCCATCGTGAATCCTCGTGTGGACTTTAAGGTTTCCTCTTTGAGTGAAACTTATTCCACACTGTTGGCAAGTGAAAGGCTTCTCTCCATCGTGAATCCTCGTGTGGACTTTAAGGTTTCCTCTTTGAGTGAAACTTATTCCACACTGTTGGCAAGTGAAAGGCTTCTCTCCATCGTGAATCCTCATGTGGACTTTAAGGTTTCCTCTTTGAGTGAAACCTGTTCCACACTGTTGGCAGATTAAATGGCGTCTAGTTTTTGCTTTTTTAGCTCTTTTTTGTGAGCAAGTCTTTTTTGTCTTTGAGCAACTAAAATATTTCCCCCCAATTATGAAATCCTGGTCTTTCTCCTTCTGAATTTTCACTTCAATTTCCTTCAGTTCTTGACTCTCCTTTTTCAGCTGCATCAGGTCTAAAGCAAAACAAAAACCAATGTAAGTAAATTCTAGTTTCATGGCAGAAAGCAACAGACATCTAAGCCAACAAAAAAGCATTAACGCATCCAAAAACAAACAGCATCAAAACCAGCAACAAGTATACTAAACCAGGGGTTCCCAAACCAGGACCCACCTAGACAAGTATAATCTATCTAAAGACCCACCATACTATTTGGGTTTGGGGATGGCAGAAAGCAACAGACATCAATTTTATTTTATATTACAACTGTACCATTTCAATACAAATATTGACATTTTAATATCTTCATTTACAGGCATTGAAGAGAATATAAAATGCATCCATATAAACTTGAAACACTCTCTCAAGTCTCGATATGAATTGTAATTCACATTACAAGTGTTGTTAAACTCATCGCGGTGTTTAGCACTGAAAACGCTCTCGCGCTCCTTCCATATGTGAACATGTGTAATGCTTTACAGACATGCAGTATTTTCCTTACGTGTTGGTAACTCTTACGACTATGTCTCTGGAAGACAACATTGCTGAATTGAACAGAGATATGAATAAATAGACATGAAACAGCCTTCCGTGATATTTGAAACACAATCTACGTGGGGGCGTGTTAGAACGAGCCGTTTTAGGTAGGCTTGGTTGACTCTTAACTTTTATAAAGAATATCTCTTTGGATTTGAGACTTTAGTCTTTGCAACTTTACAGATCTTCTTTATGCACCAAGGGCTTGTAACACTCCAAAGAGAAAGGAAAACTTAAAATCGCATCATATGACCCCTTTAAAGCGTCATGGCAGAGCATTGAAGTCGACTAGTTGGTGCAACCCCTAGCAACCAGACACTCCTGCTTATGACTGCACATGCACATTGGCTAGTCTAGCCTGAAAAATACGCTTTTTTAACACTATTTGAGCATAAGAAACAACATTTATGGGGCAGTTCATTTCAGATTTTGTTGCCGGTTTGAAATATGCTATTTAATTGTAAGCTCGGCAAGCAGTTTTTGAGATTTCAGGATTCCCCCATTCAAACAGACAGGACTTGATCTTGGATGCCCGAAATAGCTGCCTGGAAGCATTGCAAATATGGCCGCCGAGTGAACAGACTTTCCTTGAAAGCGACTTTGATCAAACACACCTGATTCAGGTCATCAGCTCATTACAAGAGACTCCAAGACCTGAAATGGGCGTGTCAGACGAAAGAGAGATTCACAATGTGCAGTGTTGGGGGGGAATTGGATCTTCTCAGGTTGAAGGCAGAGGTGCGTTCACGCCATATCGGAATTCCCGAAATTACGAGATTCCAACTTGTAAAAAGCGTTCACGTCCTCATAGAACTCGTAATTACAACTTGTGAACTTGCCGGTTAGAAATTTAGTCCGACTTGAACCGACGCCACGTCACTGTCACGTGTGGCATCAAAATACCGCGATAGCGTTTTGACAGCAGCCGGTTGACTCAGCTGGCGCAGCTTTTTCAGAGCGACTACAGGAGCGCTTATGACGACACAGCTGTTTCACGATTGGCCAAATTCACCACATGACAATGACGTGTTTCTAACATCTTCAATTCCAATACTGCTTCATCTGTGGAAGAGTATGAAAACACCGCGTGAGCATCACTAACGGGAGCAGAAAGTGTCCGGCTTGACGTGTCCGTTTTCAACTCTGCCCCTGACTGCAAGCGGCTACTCTCGTTGATCGCCGTCTGTAGCTGTGCTTCAAGTCGAACGCACCTTCTGTTTAGGCATTGATAGTGTTGCCATAGAAAAGCATAATTTCGAGTCCAAGGACGTGAACAGCTCCGAGTAGAACGTCACGTGTCATCTAGGGGTGTGCGATATTGACAAAAAATTATATCTCGATATTTTCTGGGATTTTATCGATATCATCTCGAAATTACGGTAATTACAATATGGCCTGAATGCAGCACAGCATTAGCCTAGTATTTGTCTGCTCGTGTGACCTGAACATGTCTGTCCACATGAGGCGACCAGCTCCATATCAAATTAAATAGCTTTAATTAGGATACTCGTATGCCATTCTTCACTTCTGTAGAGCTGGGCATTTTAGGGTAAGCATAAGGATCAAATGAGTGAGTTCAGCTTCGAGAATGAAAACCAACCTGTTTGTGTCTCAGTGTCTTCTTGTTTGACTCTGAATGTTTCTTCAATCCTCACGTCTTCACTCTCCTCTTTAATAAACTCCATCTTTATAATAGTGTGTCACGTGGATCTCAGCTGCTTCACCAGGAGTTTTTCTGTGTCCTGTTTAAGATAAAAATAATTCGGGGAAAAAAAATCATAACATTTCTGTGTAATGATTTCTAGATTTCTTAATTTAATAAATTACACTCATTACATACCACTGATCTATATTAATGACTGGAATGCTTTTCCCTCACTTTAACAGGAAATCATTTGATTTTACTGAGAACGCATTACCTAACTAGTCAGCGTTTTTATATCTATGCCATCTTTCTGTACGTCCTAAACATTTAAATGGTTATTTGTTTAAAGACAGGAATTTCCCCTGCTTACTAAAAGTACAGTTTTATAATACTGTTTTAATTCATACAGCAACTGTAAATGATTCAACAGGGTTTTCACTGTTTCAGTAAAGATAATGCGGTGAATATGACAACTTTAAACATTTTAAATTAGTTAAATTAATTATTAGCTCAGCAATATATATAAAAACACAATTTATGCAAGCTGTCATAGTAAAAAAGCCTTAGAATTTGAGATGATCTGTAGGTTTTTAATGGTTCCCAAGATCTCCCAAGAGTCTGAAGTGGATGTTGGGCAACAAAAAACATCAGGAAATAATATGCACGCTTCATAATTTATTCTTAGTCAGCTGTTGCTGACTTATTTCCAAGCATTTACACTGCTTTGATTAGCAGGTGCCCTCACTTGTCAGCGCGCGGACTCGAATCACTGAATCATTTTGTGAAGCATTAAGTGTTATCCACATCAATTCAATTTAGTTTCTTTACCACTAGTTACTTGTCAGTTACCAAATTCCTATTGACGACAGTCTGATTCACCATACAGGGAGCGGAATGAGACGTACCTTTGCTATCATTCATGTTTGGATGCGCTTTACTCAAAATAGACAAAATAGACTTAAGAGTTTGCATCGACTGAAATACTTTAAATGCATAAACACGAACCTTTCTTCAGCCGAATCACAACAAATGCAGAAGCGCGGCGCAGCCTTATGACGTCGCACCACCAGACCAAAATAAGAGTCCTGTTCACGCTGCTGTCTAAAATCACAGAACTGCATTGAAACTAAATAAAATAAATACATGAATTAAACAAATACTAAAACATAAGTCAGGGGTTGAAGTTCTAGTGAAAGACATATTTAAATACGTTGTCCAGTGATGTGCTGAAACAACTGCCAAATGTAGCTGCAAACGTCCAATGTGGATGATTAGCAAACCAAATGAAATTAATCTTATATCATTTACAGAAAAGTCCTACTTGAATCGTCACTGAAAGCTAAGGTTTCATGAAACAGGTTATAGCAACACACAGGTGTCAAAAAGAGCAAATGACTTTCAAAAGAAACCATTCCCGCTTACTGTTAGATTAAACAAGGTCAAAAATACCACTTTAAAATGTTTACAGTTCTAAGGCATGTGATCATTATATGTGATGTATGTGTGGACTTGTGTGCAACATTTAAATTTAGATGAATCACATGACATAGAATGTCATAGATCAATTTCAAATGAATGTGAATTTATCTCAAAACAGCTGCAGGTCATAATAATTCTTTATGGCTTTCTCTTTTTATTAAAAATGAATACAATGCATGAGCAACAACATGAAAAAGGGTACTAGAGACATGTTGGGAGCAGGGAATGAATAAGTATACGAGCTTTGGAGGGGAAGTTGAAGAAAGAATTCCTGAGAATTGGCCTAAGCACATATAAATGTACATCAAGAGTGATATATCCACCTGCACCTTTTTGGATTCTTCCACATCCAAATGTGGATCTAACATCACTGATGATGAGACAAAAGGAAGGAAGTCATGAAATGCAGGCAATAAGAGCAAAGGAATATATATGGTTAAAATATGGAAATAATATTTATACTGTATTTACACAGATGCTTCCAAGAATGCAAATTCAGTTAGGGGTGGCAGTTAATAACCCAAAGTTAAAGATTCAGAAAAAAGGCTACAATAACGGATCAGTTCTTGGTGTAAACGGGAGAGATTATGGCTATTCTGATAGCAGTACAGTTGATTAAAGGGGTCATATGATGCTATTAAAATTTTTCCTTTCTCTTTGGAGTGTTACAAGCTCTTGGTGCATAAAGAAAATCTGTAAAGTTGCAAAGACTGAAGTCTCAAATCCAAAAGAGATATTCTTTATAAAAGTTAAGAGTCAGCCACGCCTACCTAAAATGACTCGTTCTAACACGCCCCCACAAGTCTACGTCACGATGTGGGAAGATTTGCATAACGCCACCCAAATGTTCATGCAAAGAAAGA